ACGTAGCATACTCATGTGCCAATCAAACGAGTCTCCAACATGTGAATGACCACATTTAGGACAATTTTGTATGCCTCATTCTCCCATCCTTTGTGACCTTGCTGGCTCTTTTCCTTTCTTATCACTAGTATGTCCATTCCGAGTAAAAGATCTTTGCTTACTAAATTGGCCTTCAAGTCTACTTGGAAGGTCCCCTCAACTCCGAGTGCTTTTCTCACTATGTCTTAATAAGTATTTACCGACATTCGAACAAAACTCTAGATTTTTTCCCTTAATCCCCGAAGAAAGTGTCCTTCATTTCTTCACTTTCGATAATAAATATAGCGTAACGATAGCCATGTTCAAATTTGTGAACGTACTTGTGTCATTTTCATATCTCTTTGTACCAATGAGAGGAACCCTTTTTGATCTATCTCAACTCGAGTGCTTTTCTCACTATGTCCTTATAAGTATTTGCTGACATTCGAACAAAACTCCATATTTTCACCCTTAATCCCTAAAGAAAGTGTCCTTCTTTCTTTCTTCACTTTCGATAATAAATGTAGTTTAACGATAGCCATGTTCGAATTTGCGAATGTACTATATCACTATCATATCTCCTTGTACCAAATAGAGGAACTCCCGAATTTTATGGGACCTAAAAGCGTCGAAAAAATATTTCTCATTAAACGGGTCCTTGAATTGATTCCGGGTAAGTCCTACTTCCTCTAGCGATGCTTTCATTTTTTCCCACCAATTTAATGCATTAGTAACCAATATAAAGGTAGCGCATGTTACCCGAGTCTGGATCACTCATATCCAAATATTCAAAGATAACCTCTAAGGATTCAATCCATTCTTCTATAACGATGAGGTTCGGACCACCCCTAAATTCCTTCGAGTTGGGCCTTTGAAGCCACTCTACTATTTTAGTCCTTTATGATTAACATGTCTCAACTAGACCACGTAGAGTTGCCTCTAGGATTTGTTGCAACTACTCCTCATGCCTCTCTTATTGTAGGTCAATCATCTCCTACTACCTCCTAAGTAGTTCCATTAATTCTTGCTCTTGGTCGCTCGATGTTTGGCTCGAACCCGTGTTATTACTATTGTTATTATTATTAACCCACTTTGGTGGCATGATCTTTCCTCTTTTAATTAAACACATATAAAATGCTCATTAATTCATTCACATCATATTAACTTATAGTCATATTTTCTAAGAGAACATCACACCATTCACATTCATCACATACATAACAAACAGATCATAACCATCAGTCATCAAACATACTTAATGATTTTTTACCTTAGATGTGGTTTGATAACTTTACTCGATACCATATTCGTAATACCCCCAACCTAGGACCTTAAAGATTGAGAATATCATTACCATTAATCGACATTCAAGGTGAAATAAATGCAAGATAACTAGGTATTAAAGCTTAATCTTAATCTTTAATGTGTAAACTATGCTAAAGAAACATAACATTGGCAAGGTAGGTTCCATACTTTAGCTAAAAAGGCGTTATAAATGTTTTGCATTTTAGTCCTCTACTTACGCTCCTTTGATTCGAATAACTAAATTTAAGACAATTGATTGTCTTAAATTCCTTTCTTATTAATCTATATACATTTATTGGATTATTTTCCATTATTATTATTATTATTGTTTAATTATTTATTTCTTTGCATGATTTATTTTCTAGGTTAATTGACGCATGTTTAATCACATTTTTGTTAATGTCCTTAGGATACTAAAATGCAATGGACAATCTAAAGTAACTACACTACAATAGCTACTCTATCATTTTACTATTGGTGCTTTGGTTAGATACAAACTATTGTTTATATATAAAATTGGTTAAATACCAACTACTACAAAATTGACTTATTGACTAACTACATCATTTTAAAGATTCTCAATTTACTTGTTCATTGCTTTTATCATAACATGAAACATACTAGCTAACCCTATAACATCTAAGACAATACCTAGTACTAAAAATAGAATGGCATGTAGCAGATCCACTTGGAAGTCGAACCTTCATCCAAGGTATATACGTCCGGTGCACCCTTCGAAAATCAACTCGGGGAGTAGATAGGGCATCGTACCTTAATTATCTACATCATAAGGAACTAAGTGAGTGACTAACTACATCATTTTAGAGATTCTCCATTTACTTTTTATTGCTTTTATCATAACATAAAACAAACCAGACTAACCCTAAAACATATAAGACAATACCTAGTACCAAAAACGGAATGGCATGCAGCAGATCCACCTAGAAGCCGAACCCTCATCCAAGGTATATATGTCTAGTGCATCCTTCGAAAATCAACTTGACGAAGAGATATGGCATCGTACGTTAATTATCTACATCACAAGGAACTAAGTGAGTGATCGTTTAGTAAGTTAACTTATGCATGTCGTGTATATGTATGTATAAGCATGTGCAAAACATCGGTATATCCACATTAACTCCTTTTTCCATGCCATAATATTTCATGGTTAGTCTAAAAATCATTTTCTATTGTTATACATGTCCTATTTAGATACTTCGGGTTTATATACATCTAGTAAACCAAACCGAGTCTACGGGATGCGCCTTGCCGAGCCTCTAAAAGTGCACGTCCGCGCTTGCTCGGCCCTTAACCATTACCATTATCATGTGGAAAACCCATGAGCCCTTTCCTCTTGAAAATCCTCAAGTCATGAAAACCACATTTTTAAAAATATTTCCAATTATTTTCATAAAACCATAACGTAAAAATACATTTTTCATGTCAAAATACTTTCCAGGAAATTAGGCATACACAAGCATTTTATTGGTAATGCATAATTAGAATTGACTCCTTAGATGCATGCCTTAAAATAATCATGCCATGATAATGGATAAATCATCAATATAATTGGATTAATAATATTACCTTACATAAACAATATCAACCATTTTAATCCATAACAATGCCAACAAAATATAACCATCATCCACATTTTACCAAACAAAACATTCACAATTCAAGCACAATAAACATCATTCAAAAACACAATAATACACAAAGTCACACCAAATAAACCAAAGTCCCATATTCCCCATATTAAGTCGAATTATGTCCTTCCATTAGCTAACCATTTTCTTTCAATTTCTAACATCCATTACACATCAAATTCTTCTCAATTATGTCCAATTTCATAAATTAACATAATTAGGTATTGTTTGGGTAATTTATATACATTAGTGTTAATTTGGGCCTTATTAGGCCCAAGTTCTAACTTTACTAGCATAAGTTAATTTTTGAATCTTAATAAAGTTTTTCATGCTAGTTTACTTAATTATATTGTTTTAATCTTGAATTAATAAATTGAAGTGTTAAAGACTATTTGGAATCTAAACCCCAAATTTGCCCCATTTAGGTAGAATATACCCCTAAGTTAAACCCTACTATTTTCTTTTCATTTCATCCTAAAATTTTAACGCTAAATAGTTTAAACTTACATTCTCAACAAGAATTAATGTAATTAAAATTTGCAATAAAATTTCATGTCTAAACTCGAATTGGGCCTTAATGGATCGAAGTCGGGAATAAGTCAAATTAAGCAATTTCCTTCAATTTTCTTCAAATATTTCCTTCCTACACATTAAATGATACTTATTCAAGAACTAATCAACCAACAAATCATGAATTGAATGAATCAAACTCAAACCCTAAAAATCCAAGTTTAGGCCGAATATAACTCTAGGAATTTCATGGATTTCTCTTCAATTAAGTTGAGGTTTTTCATTCCTAAGTAAAAATTCATACCTAATTAAGTCATATTCAAGTCGTAAAACATCAATTATATGAAAGCATCAAAAAGCTCCAAACCACCACTTTAGGTCGAATGCTTCCCCTTAAACAATCCTAGAAATTTTTGAGTTTCAAACCTCAAATTCAAGTCCAATTAACGTAATTGAACCTCAATTGCATGAATTACAAGCTTAAATCCATTTCTCCTAATTTTAATTCATCAAGAAACCTAACCCTAATTTTTAAAATTAAAGTTAAAATTCACAAATTAAAGCATATAAATCACAAATTAATTTAAATTTATTAGACATTCCTACATATCCCAAATGATTTTCATGTGCCTTTGAAAAAAAAAATTTCATATGTTTTAAGTGTCTAATTTAATTATTATACCTCTAAAATACTATTCATACACATAAAAATTCAAATAAAATATTCACAAGATATAAAATAATTCACACAATCACATAAAATAATTCAACGACCCTTTAATAAATATTCTAAGCAAACAAAATATTTTTTATGCACGTCCAACATGCTCAAAATAATTCTATCCTATGAAAGCTATTATTCATACATCGTAAAAATTAATAAAATATTTATTAAGTGTAGAAAGATTATATCAACTTTTCTAAATATTCTTTCAAGCCCTTAAAGATTATTTTCTACTTTCAAAACATTTTGCACATGAGTTTAATATTAATTTATTTTTTACTTTATTTCAGTTTTAACAAGTACCGATTATTACACAATTCAACCAAAATTTAAATTGTGAGAAGAGGCTTGCAAAAAGGCTAAAATTGATTTGTTCCTGAAAATCTTTCTGACGATTACGGTATTTGGTACTCTGCGGAATAGGCTAAAATTCACAGGACTAAGGCTGTTGTCAGCCTACAAGGTTCATCTGTAAACAAAATGAAAAGAAAAACAAGATTTCGCATACATATCATCTTAGAATTACCGAAGCAATTTGAGGGATATACAACACATTTCTCTGAATTTTAAAAATAAATTTCGATCTCTATGGCACTAAAGTTTCAGTCACTCGGTCAGTAATACTTGGTAACATGGTTCCGCATCCAGAGTTCATACATGGTCATATGAAATGCATCAAGTCTGACTGGAGGTAGATTCCATTGGAAGTGCTTACGGACCTGATTCACGAGGAGGAAATTTAAAGAAATTAGACAGTTCGCAATCAAGGTATAATAAATCAAAGGGACTGATCTTCACAAGTCTTTTCCAGAGAGAATTTCAGAAACAATTGAAGTAGAGGGCTTGTGAGACAAAAATATCTGTACCCTGACTACGTTGGTCTGCAGGGCTTGATATTCAGGCTCTCCTACCACCTCAAGCAATCCCTTTATGTAATAGACAGAACTCTCCTTGACTATTAGAGAGAATGTCCTCCAGTCAAGAATGTCCGTGAATGGCAAATCATAGTAGTCAGACAAGATAACTGCACAAAGTTACACTAACTGCTTAAAAACCATCAGACAGCAGAAAGCTTAAAGATAAAATACTAGAGAATTTAGTCAATAGAAGTTACGAAAGAAGAATTGATTTATCACCTGGAACACATCCATATTGAATTGCTAATGCTATGTAACGATCGATATCAGGGCCTGCAGGGCAGATGCAAAACTTGGAGGTTTTGAAGGCCTCGTGGAAAGATCTATCTTGCTCTTCTAAACTAGGTTTCCTTCCTTTCTGGATGAGAAGCCGTGGACGGTTCTCCCAAGAATGGAGCAGCTTCTCTCTTACATAAGAGTCATTGAGACCTCTCCAGAAAGCTAGCATAGTCCTGTGAAATATGCTTTCCATATGTTAGATTAAATTCATAATATGACAGAATTTATTAGGTTACAATTAAGATTTTTTTTTAAAAAAAAACAAAATGCTCAGAAGAGTATTTTACCTGTCTTTTATAATATTTCCAGCAGCAGGAAGAGCAAGTGTCGACACATATTGTGGGAGGGAAACATCCTTATGAGGAACATATTCAGCATCATAACTTGGAGAACACATGACTCTAATTGAGTTCTTCAAAAGATTAGCAATTCTTGCAGCAGCAGTCACATGAATGTCTGCGCAGGTTACCAAGAAGTGGTCGGCACCTAAAGTTCTATTCCAATAAGGGTACTTGGAAATAAGGCTGATGACGAAATCCTCGACAGCACTAGCCCTTTCATCCTCAGATCTTCCCTGCAAACAACATCATCAAAGTAGATCTGCAATCAAAATTCCAAGAACTCATAGTCACAAGATGCAGTAATCATTGAAACTCTTCAATGAACCGTGACACAACTAATATGCACAAAAGAACCAGTCCTGGGAAACCAAAATACACCAAAAGTCATGAAGACCAATATCAATTGAAACACAACAAATTTATACCCCAGGAGGCGACGAATAACAAGATAAGGGAATGAGAAAGAGGTGAGCCGTTTCAGGATCTTTGGTCCAGAACCAAGTCTGATCGAGATTCAGATAGAATAACCCTTCATTCGCATACTTGTCATCACATACAGTAATATTATGTGGGTACACAAAGATCTTGAAGGTCCTCTCCATTTCCTCATAATCCGGACCGAAAGCCCCAGGAACGTTAAGCACTTCATGAAAACTATCAGGATGAGCATAAGCTTGAAATGACAGTGCCGGCACCTACATCAAAAACAATATGCAAGAAAAAGGGTTCACTGTTATAATCTTCAAAGGACCGAAACTTACTTAAAAAAGAAAGTGCAAGGAAGCGAAAGAAAGTGAAAGAAAATTGTACGAGTCCAGTGGTAATTCTTAAAGAACTGAAGTTGACCTTCAAAACTAGAAATTTGCATGAAAAGGAGCATTGAAAAGAAAATGCAAGAAAGTGAAAGAAAGAAAACAGAAAGAAAAAGGGTACCTGAAGAGAAAGTGGGAATCGAGGTTGATAGATGGAGAAGCAGACGGAAACAATAACGAAAATACAGGCAAGCCTTCCTCGTTTGGTTATAATCTTCATGGATATTTCTTGGATGGATTCCTTTTTGTTCTTGTGTCTTTCATAGGAGAATGAAAGAGAGAACGTGAGAGGGTGAAAGTGGTTTTCTGGTAAGTCTATGGGATTGAATTGAAGTCTTTAGCTTTATATATTGCTTTTATTCAGGAGGAGGGAAAAAGTCACATTTGCGTTAGTTAGTTGAAAGATAAGAGACTCCCTCCTCTGGCCTCTAGTTGATTAAAGAGCCAAAAACAAGTAACAATACGATTATGTGGGCTTAAATTCTCCTCCTCCTCCTCCAACTCTCTCTCTCTCTCGCATATATATATATATATATATATATATTTTTTTTTATTATTATTATTTTTTTTGGGTTCGATGGTAAAGCCTGCTTGTGTATCAACCGAGACTAATTTCCCTTACATAAACAGATGCCGGTTTTGCCAATATACGAATGCATTTTTCTTACAGCAAGGACACGTGCTAAGTGCTTCGATCTCTTTTAGAGAAACAAGCCGATTTGAAAGGGGCCTAGTATGGTCGATCAATCCCACCTCCAAAACACTACCACCGCCCTGGCTGTGCTCTGACAATGGTGGTTTTGCCTTTTCACCCTCCTCCTCAAAGGGATCATCACCGTTCTTATTGGTGTTTCCATCCTTATCGTCTACCTCTTATTCTGGCCCAATAACAAGGTCAACTACACTGACAACAACATGACCCACTGTAATACCCATACACCTTAGTAGGTAAAAGTTAAATGGGAGCACAGGCGAGGGATAATACGGTAATTTCATAAGTAAAAAAAAGGAAACAAAAGAGGAGCAAATCGTGTGGTTTTAATTAGAAACCAACAAATAAACTATGGAACGGGAAGAGAAGAAGAGAGGAAGGAGAGGACTTGCTAGCGGTCACCAATTCTTGTGACTGTGGCAGTAGCAATTCAGGTGAGAAAAAAAAAATAAGAAGAGTAGAAAAAGGAGAGAAGAAAGAAAGATAGAATAAGAGGAGAAAAGATTTTTTAAGCTTCTTTTTGGAAGTTTTGACTATTAATAACAATAAATTAGACATGGGTAACATGTAATATAGTAAATTATATTTTGAATTAGAAATTAGAATCAGAGATTAGGGTTTGATTAAAAATTAGAGTTTATGTAAATTAGAAATTTGGAAAAAATGAGTAAATGAGTAATTAAAGATTTAAGTAAGTTTGAATTTTATTTTTTTTTATATTCAAATTGTTGTTATTTATTGTAAATATAATTTATAATAGACGTGAAAAAGGATTTGATAGAGGAAGCTATCTAAGGAGGGGACATTTGAGTTTGTAATGTTCATCTACATTCGAAGTAAGAATATCACATATTATTGGTCTTTAGTACCATATATATTGCTTGTGAGTTGAAAAAAATTAATGTACACACAATATGCTTTATTGTTACATATAATTGCATGTATATTGAATTGTCTTCATGTAGGTATTATTGTCGTAAACTAAATAAAATGGATTTATATGTTGCAATATGAATTATGGATGTTAGATGAGATATTAGTATATTAAAATAGCATATATGTACGTTGGTATAATGAGTGATTGCATTAAGTGGAAGTATGTGATTGATAAAGTACTAAAAGAACATAATGATATTGATGACTTAAAAGAAATTCTAGAACTAACTAAAGCTAATAGGACTATAGTTAGCCTAAGTATACCTAGTATTGTGGACTAGTGGAATGGCCGTTATGGCTCTCTTAGAGTTTACCCCTTGTGGGCCATACTTTACTCTTTCGTAGATAATAGTTTATCCTTTATGGGCCATAGTTACCTCATCAAGGGGTTATAATCTACTTTATATAGTATGAATTTCAAGTTGAGAAGTTATTATTGATTTTTAATAAATAAAAAAATTTATGAATGACTTAATTGGTTGTAAATTATATAATATATGTGCATTGACATAATTGACACGTTATTGGCACAATTGACAAGTTATATAAATAGTTAACATCTTGCATGGAAGTAAAGACCATATGAAATTGATTCATTTTAGTTAAAATGGCTAGTAACGTACATAACATAATTGTATGTATAACGGTTTATAATATGTGTTATCCTTACTAAGTATTGAAAACTCATCCGTTAACCTCTAGTGTTTTGTAGATAACACGAGAGCTAGATATCGGGAGGTGGATGATACATTTTCTAGATTTGAAGGTACTACCTAAATATTTTTCCTTCATCTAGGTATAGGACATGATAGTTTTAATTTTGTAGTCATTGTCGCATTGTAACGATTTATTATAAATTTTATTTCTCTCAATTGTTCCACTAATAAGCATCACCAAATCCTAGAATAGTTAATTGAGGTTCTCCATACATGTTATATTTTTACTCGGTTAAATAGTGAATCATGAATTTGCTTATGTTTAATCTTAGGTTATGTGGTTGTTACTCACTTTAGCAAGTGATGAGATTTATAGAAAAGTATGGGTGTTCGATGGATGAACTTGATAATATATGACAATTGATGAGAATGATTTTGAAGTGTATGTGTATCTATGAACTTTTATGTAGGTTATGTTACTTTTGAGACCCTCCAATAATAAAGGAAATGCTATCAAAATTTTGGTAAGCAATAGAGAAGAATAAGGCTTACATAGCCTATGGTGGGCCACCCTACCTTAGGTTACATGTCAATCATGATTTTCTAGTTCGGGTCATGACAAATTAGTATCAAAGCATGGTTTGGGCTTGGTAGGTAGTAAGTTATAAGATAAGCCTTTAGTCTTGCACTACGAAGTTATAGGTCGTTATAGGTTTCTAAATTATCTTTAAGTTATTCATTACTTCGTAGTTTCTACGTAACACTTCTAATTCTATCGAAGTTAAGCATATCATGTATTTGTTTATAAAGAAGATATTGATTACGACTATTTTGTTACTAGGTGGCAAGGATCGAAGGTAGTAGAGGTGGCAAGCATGGAAGAACCCATAATGTATATCTTGGTAGGTTTGGCAAAGCCCCACATATAATACTTAGCCCAACTATCCTACATGTCACATAGGGTAGTAAGCGTAGTAGGTGAGATTTCATGACAAACAAAAGAGAGGCTGAAGTGGAAAGAGTGATTGGATCCATAGCCACTATAGGGGCATAAGATGTTGCCTAAAACTTAAATTTGTTAACGCAAATCATTACGCAAGCATGAGAGGCTACATACACGAGCAGGGGATAACATTATCCTCTTCACATGCTAATGAGGATGAAGTAACATTATTCAAGTTCTTGAAACTCAAGCCACCAAGGTTTGAAAGAAAACAAAATGATGATCCTCATTTGTTTTTAAAGGAGATAGATTCAAGGTGCAAGGCATTAGCTTATAGTTCTTGAAAGACGGTACGGATGGTTAAGTTTTGTTTGACTAGGATAACTAAATGATGATTTAAAACTAAAGGATCACCTAACCAAACTTGGAAGGATTTTAGTAAGGCCTTCATGGATAAATTTTTACTAGAGAGCATTAGGCACTAGAGGGCATTGGTTTTTGAAAGATTGAGACAAGATGTATCCATGAAAATTACTAAGTATGATGCACGATTTATGAAGATGAGTAGGTATGCTCCTTATTCAATCAGCATAGAAGAGTCGAAGATATCTCAATTTATAGGTGGTTTATCGCCATAACTTCTACGAGAGGTTGTAGAATGTGCCCTACTGATAGAGTTGGCTCAAAAAAATTATTTAAGAGAGTAAATTTTTTTTACCTAAAAAACATAAAGGTGAGGGATAGTCAAGTAGCCATTAAGCTTGAGGTAGTAGGCTCGGTGGATCTAGCAAAGGTTTAAGCCATCAAGGCTAAATAGGCTAAGAGGGCTCATAAAGGAGATACCACTAGAGGCCTAGAACATATTTGGCTAGGAGTTATGGATCCATAAGATATAGCCATCGTGGTTTAACTTAGGCAAGCCGCAGTGCTTACGGTCCTCTTCGATCCATACGAAGTGCTCCTATTTCTTCTCATTGCCGTACTTGTAGTAAAATGTATTAGAGCTAGTATAGAGTTAAGCAAAATAGATGTTACTATTGTTGACAAAAGGATTATTTTTCTAGAGAATGTCCCTCATTGTTATCACAATAGACTTTCTCACAAATACATGCACCTACATCATCCGGTCGAGCAATACGAGTCGATCGGACTAATGAGGCGAGTGGATGAGGTTTAGGTGGTAGAAGATTTAGTTGTAGGGGAACAATGCAAGCTAGTAGAGGCTAGTCATAAATAGGTAGAAGTCGGGATGTAAGGGAAAAAGATTAGAGTTTTGTTATGCATGGATAAGCTAGGGTGTATGCCTTGACTAGACATGATGCTTAGGCTTTTAATGTTGTTATGTTAGGTATTCTTTATATTGACACTTTTAGTGCATGTGTATTATTAGAAACTAGGGCTACTCACTCATTTATATAAGCATTCTTAGCCAAGAATTTGGGTAAACAATCGGAGAGATTAGATGATTCTTTAGTAATGCTCACTCTAATATGAGAGTGTAGAGATAAATTTAGTGTATCGATCTTGCAAGTTTAAGATAAGGGATAAAGATCTTTTAATGCTTTTATTATTATTTGAGTTAGTGGACTTTGATTTAATATTAGAAATAGATTGATTGTCTCAATATCATGCATCTCTCGACTCGTTATGGAAAGATAGTGAACTTTAACATGCCGGATGAGCCAAAATTCTAGAGATGTGCTAGTTGTGCATGAATTTTAAGAAGATAGTTTAGCTCCATACAGCCTTGTGTTAATATTTAATGCTAGGCATATCTTACATAAAGGATGTTGTGGTTACATAGCTTTTATGAGAGATGTAATCTCTCTAGAGCCAATGATGAAAGATGTGCCAATTGTGAATGAATTTCTAGATGTGTTTCTAGATGAATTGTTAGGCTTACCTCTAGAGAGATAGATAGAGTTTTATATAGATGTTTTGCTTGGAACCGAGTCAATATCAATGCCACCTTATAAGATAAAACTAGTTGAGCTTAAGGAGCTCAAGGAGCAACTGCAAGAGTTGTTTGACAAAAGGTTCATTAGGCCTAGTGTGTTACATTGGGATACACTAATGTTTCTTGTAAATAAGAAAGATGGGTCTTGGTGATTATATATCGAATATAGATAGTTGAATAAGGTCATAATCCATAATAAGTATCAATTACCATGAAGTGATGATCTATTTGAGCGATTACAAAGCTCTCAATACTTTTCCAAGATAGACTTAAGATTATGATATCATCAATTGTGTATAAGGAAAAAAGATATCCCAAAACCAGCATTTAAACTAGATTTAGACACTATGACTTCCTTGTAATGTCGTTTGGACTCATTAATACTCCTATAGAATTTATAGATCTCATGAACCGAGTGTTTAAATCATTTCTTGAAAGCTTTGTGATAATGCTTATAAATGATACTTTGATTTATTCTAAGAGTAATAAAAAGCATAAGTAGCACTTGTGAATGGTTCATCGGACCTTGATGGAGCATTAGTTGTATGCCAAATTCTCCAAGTGTGAATTTTTGCTAGATAATATTGGTTTTCTTAGACATATAGTGTCAAAGGATGAGATAGAATTGGACCCAAATAAGGTTGCGGCAGGTTACTCATTAGCTAAGGCCAACATTTGCTACTAAGTTCATAGTTTTCTCGATGTAGTTGCATATTATAGGCATTTTGTAGAGAACTTCTCATGGATAACTACTCTATTATTGAAATTGACTTAAAAGAAAGTAAAGTTTAAATGGGCGGATGCATGTGAGTAAAGCTTCCAAGAGCTTAAGATTCGTTTGACCATAACTCTAGTGTTAGCATTCCCATCCGGTTCTAGAGTTGGATTGGGGTATGTGTTGATGCAACATATGAGAGTTATGGTCTATGCTTCTTGTCAATTAAAGAAGAATAAGTAGAATTACCCTACTCATGATTTGGAGATGGAAGTAATTGTTTTTTCCTTGAAGATATGACGATATTATTTAATGGAGAGACATGTGAGATTTACATAAATCATAAGAGCTTAAAGTATATTTTTGATTTGAGGGACTTGAATTTAAGGAAAAGATGGTGGATGAAGTTACTTAAAGATTATGATTGTTCTATACTATACCATTAAAAAAAAATATGGTAGTAGATCTATTGAGTAAGAAGTTAATTAGGAGTTTAGCCTATATAGTGATTTAAAGGAGGCCATTGATCTAAGAATTATGTGAGCTACATGATCAAGGGATTCAATTATAGATTAATAATAGTGGAGTTTTGCTAGCTCACATCAATATATGACTCGTGCTCTTAAATCGAGTCAAAGCAAATCAAGCTAAGGATGAGCAACTATAAAAGATTAGAGATGGAATTGTTAAGGGTGACAATAAGAAGTTTAGGGTGGATAGCGATGGTATACTCGACTTGGTACTAAACTATGTGTTCTTAATATATAGGATTTTAGGAGAGAGATCATGAAAGAAGCATATAGGTCCGCATACATGGTACATCCCGGTTCTACCAAGATGTATCAAGTTTGAAAAATATACTAGTGGAATGAAGAGGGACATTGTATATTTTATGGCTAAATGTCTAATGTGCTAACAAGTGAAGTTCAAGCACCAAAAGCCTTCAAAGTTACTTCGAGAGCTTCCTTTACTAGAATGGAAGTGGGAAAGAGTACTAATGGATTTTATGGTAGGGTTACTCCATACTACTAAGTGTTATGACTTCATATGGGTGATTATGGATATGTTGATAAAGTCAACTCACTTTATTCCACCGAAGACTACTTATATAGTAGTTTAGTTTGCCCAACTATACATTGAGAAAATAGTGAGTCTTCATAAAGTACCTTTTCTCTATAGTGTTAGATAAGGGCATACAGTTTATATCACGGTTTAAAGAAAACTCTAAGCGCATTAGGTACTCAACTTGACATTAGTATTATATTTCATCCACAAATAGATGGTCAGCACAAGAGGACATATTGAGAGCATGTGTTATAGATTTCGGGGATACCCGAGAGCATTATTTACCATTGCATTGAGTTTGCCTATAACAATAGTTACCAATCGAGCATTGAGATTGCTCTATATAAGGAATTATATGGTAGAAAATGTAGGTCTCTAATTTATTAGGAAGAAATGGCGAGATAGAAAGTTATTGGGTCCAAGTGATTTATAGTTGACTACGAAGAAGGTAGCGATGAATCGGGAAACGTCTTAGGATGGCTCACATTAGGCAAAAGAGTTATATAGACTTGAAGAGAAAACATCTTGAATTCAATTAGGTATATTGGATCATTCAAAATACTAGAGAGTAGGAGTAGTGGCTTATAGATTGGCCCATCCACTAGACTATTCTAGACTCCACCCAATAGTTCATGTGTCTATGTTGAGGAAGTATATGGCAAATCCTTCACATATAATTGAACCATAAACTATTGAGCTAAGTGAGGATTTAAGTTACGTGGAGCAACCAATTGCAATTGTGGATTGCCGGATCAAAAAAATTAGGTCGAAAGAGATCATTTTAGTTAAGGTTCAATGGAGAAATCATTCCATTAAGGAAAGCATGTAGGAATCGAGAGGACAAAATACAAGATAAGTATCCACATCTATTTTAGATTCAAGATATGTAGTCATTTCAAAATTCGATGATGAATTTTTTATAAGGAGAAGAAAATGTAATGCCCATATACCTAATAGGTATAAGTTAAATAGGGACATCAATGAGGGACAATACGATAAATTCACAAGTTAAGAAAAAGAAAAGAAAAGAGGAGCATATTGTGTGGTTTTAATTAGAAACTAGCAACAAAAATAAACTAGGGAATGGGAAAAGAAGATGAGAGGAAGGGCGAGGAAGGGGAGGACCTACCAATGGCCACTAACTCCGAGTGATAGTGGCGATAGTAGTTCAGCGGAGAAAAAAATAAGAAAAGAAGGAAGAAGGGAGAAGAAAGAAAGACAGAATGGGAGGTGAAAACAATTATTAAGCTTCTTTTTGGAAGTTTTGACATAATATGCTTAATTGTTACAAATAATTGCACATAAGTTGAATTGTCTTAATATAGGTATTCTTATAGTAAACTAAATGAAATGGATTTGCATGTTGCAATATGAATTACGGATGTTAGAGGAGATGTCGGTATATTAAAATAATATATATGCATGTTGGTATAATGAGCAATTGCATTACATGGAAGTATGTGATTGATAAAGTACTAAAAGAACATAATGATATTGGTAGCTTGAAAGAAATTTTATATGGAACTAACTAAAGCTAACGGGGCTATAGTTAGCCTAGGTACACATAGTATTGCTAGGTTATATAAATACATAACATCTTGCATGAAAGTAAAGAGTATATGAAATTGATTCATTCTAGTTAAAATGGCTAGTAACGGACATAACATAATTGTATGTATAACGATTTATACTATGTGTTATGCTTATTGAGTTTTCCAAACTTACCTCCCAACCTACTAGTGTTTTGTAAATAACACAGGAGCTAAATATCTAAAGGAGGATGATAGATTTTCTGAATTTGGAGTTCCTAATCGGATATTTTTGCTTCCTCCGGATATAAGACATGATAGTTTTAATTTTGTACTTATGGTCCATTTCAACTTTATAACTAGTTTTTGTAAATTTAATTTTCACTTAGTTACTCTAGTGGTAGCATCACCAAATCCTAGGTTAGTTAGTTGAGGTTCTCCATACATGTTATATTTTGACTAGTTAAATTGTGAGTCATGCATTTGTTTATGTTTAATCTTGAGTTAAATGGTTGTTAATTTAGCAAATGATGTTATTTATGAGAAATTGTGGGTGTCTAATGGATAGACTTGATGATGTATGAGAATTGATGAGAACGATTTGGAGGTGTATGTGTACCTATGGACTCTTACGCAAATTATGTTACTTTTGGGACCCTCCAATGATGGAGGAAATGCTACCAAAATTTCAGTAGATGCTATAACGAAGAATAAGGCTTACGTAGCTTGTGGTAAGCCATCCTATCTCGAGCTACATGTTGATCGTGACTCACTAATTTGGATCGTAACACCCACTATAACCTTCTTGTTAACATCATTATCAGCTCCAACAAGAAGATTGGAATTTACTATGATAGGATAAAGGCCATGGCATTTATGAGGACTAGAGGTTTGGTTAACATGCCTTGACTCCGTTATATCAAGTATACAAGAACACAAGTGCATTGAATGTAGTTTTTAAAGATCAACGACTGGACACCCTTCAAGGTGATGAGTTGACACAGTTTAATCAAGAAAATACAAGTGGGCTTTGATGGTTTATAGTATCATCTTTGAGTTGTCTTTGAGATTAGATTTCAACTTTGTAAGGTCAAGACTGCAAGGTCGGGGGCCAAGGTTGCTGGGAGTAAGAACACGTTTGAGTTAAGGAGTAAATCGTGAAGATTCCATTTTATTATTTCTGATGAATTATGAGCCTACAATGTTCACAGTAAACAACCTCATTTGATGCAAAATGAATAGAAAAACCGGATTTTGCAAGAGCAGATCATCTGACACCTATTTGAAAAGTTAGCAACGATAGCAGGCATGTCACCTTAGAATTACAGAAGCAATTTGAGTGATGTACGATACATTTCTCAGCTTCATTTTCATGTCAAGAAAGTTTCAGCAACTCAGTCAGTAATACTTGGTAAAATGGTTGCGCAGCCACAAGTCATACATGGTCATATGAAATGCATCATATTTGATTGGAAGTAGATTCCACTGAAAGTGCTTCCGGACCTGATTCAGGTGTAGGAGGAACTAAAGCAATCAGAAAATTGACAATGAAGGTTTAACACATTCAAGGAAATCAATATAAAGGGAAGTAATCTTCAGAAGTATTTTCCAGAGGAAATTGACATGTGAGAGAAAAATATATGTACCATGACAGTGTTGGTCTGTAGTGCTCGGTATTCAGCCTCTAATATCTCATCTAGGAGTTCTCTCATGTAAGAGACTTGGCTCTCCTTGAGTATTACAGAGAATTTCCTCCAGTCAATAATATCGTTGAATGGTAAATCATAGTAGTCAGAAAAGATAACTGCACAAAGTTACACAGACTTATTAGAAAACAAGTGGCACCAAAGAGCTTAAGGATGCAATACATAATGAATTGATCTATCACCTGGAACGCATCCATAATGAATTGCTAATGCTATAGTACGATCGAGCTCAGGGCCTCCAGGACAGATGCAATACTTAGAGTTATTGAAAGCATCATGGTACACCAAATCTTGTTCTTCGAAACTAGGTTCCTTTCCTTTCTGGATGAAGAGTTCTAAATCATTTCCCCAAGACTCAAGCAGCTTCTGTCTTACATGAGAATTGTTGAGACCTCTCCAGAAAGCTAGTGTCATCCTGCAACATACAAGACATGATAGATTGATATTAAACTCTGTAGTTATATACCTTTCAGACAGAGTTCATTAGGTAACAAATAAAAATATTCAGAAGAGTATTTTAAGTTACCTGTTCGTTATGTTACTTCCAGCAGGAGAACGAGCAAGTGGCGGCACACGTTGTGGAAGGGAAACATCCTTATGCGGAACATATTCATCCTTATAACTTGGAGTACACATGACTCTAATTGAGTTCTTCATAAGATTTGTAATTCGTGCAGTAGCAGTCACATTAATGTCTCTGCAGGTGACGTAGAAGTGATCGGCACCTAAAGTTCTGTTCCAATAAGGGTACTTGGAAATAAGACTCTTGACAAAATCTTCGACAGCAATAGCCTTTTCATCATCTGATCTTTTCTGCAAATAATAACATCAATGTAGCGGCTTAGTACAACAAATTCATAAGCATGCCAACAGTAGAATTTAGAATTGTGAGTTTTTAAAATCTCTTGTTCACTATACTGCAGAAGAAATTGTAATCAATAACTTTTTTTCATCTAAAGGCAAACCCTCCATTGAAGTATTTGAGTAGAAAACACAACAAATTATACATGTAACAACTATCCAAAAAAGAAACCTATCTAGGAACACATGCATAATCTACTAGCACATCAATATCTGTAAGATTATACCCCAGCAGCAGATGAATGGCAAGAAATGGGAATGAGGAAGAGGTGAGCTTTTTCAGGATCTTTGGTATAGAACCGACTCCGATTGAGATTCAGATAGAACAATCCTTCATTTCCATACTCGCCATTGAGCATCCTGGGTTTATTATCACAGGCAGTAGTATTATGTGGGTACACAAAGATCTTGAATTTCCTCTCCATTTCCTCATAATCCGGGTCGAAAGCCTGAGGAACGTGAAAGACTTCACAATGAAATCTAGCACCTTGAGCATAAGCTTGAAATGACCCTGCCCAGACCTACATAAAAAATCAATATGGTAGAAAAAAGGAGTTCAAAAGTGAAAGAAAAGGAACGATGAAGAAAAATTGCATAGCAAAGAAAATGTAAATTTGGGTCCTTGAATATCAAGAAACAGAGAAAGAATGAGTTCATCAGCAATCCTTTAAGAACTGAATTTCACACTTGAAAATTACATGGAAAAGGAACAGAGAAAGAAAATTCAAGAAAGTGTATACCTGAAAAGAAAATGGGAATATTGCTTCATAAATGGAGAAGCAGATGGAAAAAACAACAACAAAACAGGCAAGTCCTCGTTTCAGATTCTCCATGGCTTTTTCTTGGATGGATTCTTTCCTGGCTTTGTGTTTGGGTTGGGAGAATGGAAGAGAGTGAGAGTTAAAGTGGCTTTTTCTTTAGAAGAGAGAGAGAGAGGAAGGGAAAAAGTATTAGTTAGTTATTAGTTGAAAGATAAGATAGTCCCTCTGGCCTCTAGTTAGTTAACAAAACATGCACACATAGCGCTGTGGTTTCTTAGCTGCAAATATGAGTAGTTTGATTAGTGCCAAAACCCTCCTTCATGTGATTAAATGACACCTGAGCCTAATAGAACTAGTCAAAACCCCATAAGGAGCCTTCTCTCTGCACTTGATAACCTTTCGTTCATGCATCAGATATGTAGTACTTTCCAACATTTACTCAGACATAATTAAGAGTTAGCCGAGTTCAAAATCGACCCCAATGGGGAAGGTTTAGGGTAGGTGTGACCCCAAGTAATTTTAGCAGTTTCTAGGATCAGTAGCTAGTCCTATTAGATACGTTGGACATAGAGCCGAAAACGAAAAATGTGATTGCACGAGCAAAAGCTAAAATTGGGTGGGAGGTGGATCGTATTAAAAATGAATGAGATAGGGGATGGTCACCGATATCTTCTTCTTTCTGATGATTACATATAGACTAGTTCGACTCTTACATGAACCGGTAGGCAGCGGAACTATTTGCTAATCTCATCTTTATAAAACCCCATTCGGTAGATGAAAAGAAAAACAATTTTTTTTTTTTTTTTTTTTAAAGTGTCAATAGAATCATTGTCTCATTTATTATTTTTCGTTATTATCATATTAACATTAATTAGGTGAATATGCTAAGTAAGTAATGTGTAGAAAATTCATCGATTTCAACTCGAGGGTCTTTTTTTTTATTGTGTTTATTTTCTACTATAATTAAGCCCTAAGTTAAAGGGATTTGATGTACTCTTAATGTCTATATATTGTAATATGCTACAATAGGAAGATACAAAACTTTTTAGAAAAGGTATTTAATTTGTCATAGTATTAGAGCTTGTTTTTGACATTGTTTCATCTTATTTCCAAGTTTTGTGATCCTAGTATTTTCATTCTTGGTTAATCTTGTCTTGCTATTCAAATTTTAGTTATCTAATTTGATATCTTAGTCTTTTTTTTTTTTTTTGGGAATTATGTTCTTAGAACGACCTCGAATATTTTTGTGTTTGATTTAATGACAAGAACTATTCTTCCTAGGAATTTCAATTCTAGTTCTTTGTCAAGGAAAAGAATTATGGGGTCATATTGATGGGAAAAATACTACACTCGACAAAGAGAAGGAGAAGGAACAATATGGGAAATGGGAGATGAATGATGCTTAGATTATGTATTTGATTATTAGAAGTGTCAAACCATCCATTCTTCTCAACCTCAAGCCTTATAAAACCTCTAGAGAAACGTGGGGTTACTTGAAGAAAATTTATAACCGCAGCAACACAAGCATAAAGGTTTCAGTGGGCACTCTTGTTCAAGGCAACATCTCGATCCTATATTTTTATTCTTCCTTTTAGAATCTCTAAGCTCAATACATTGATATTATGTATGCAAGTGTACATTTTGAAGGACTCCCTACCGTCCAAAGTGTGTAGGAGACTAGCAAGTAAGACTACTTTTTGTTGAAGTTAAGGAGAGATTTTAAAGGAATTAGGTCTAATTTAATGAACAAAGATCTAGTTCCTTTGTTGGATGCTTGTCTTAGTGAACTTTTAATGGATGAACAAAGACTTATTACTCAGTCGTCATGGAGAAGAAGCTAAAAATTATGCTCTAATTCTTATTGCCTATGCTACTTGATGGAAATATAAAGGCACTAGAGACATGACTAATGTCCAAGTCTTATAGTTGTAGAGAATTGGGGCACATTGCCACCAACTATACTAGGAAATTATATAATTATTGTAAGAAAGTAGGAAATGTCATCAAAGATTGCTCTATTCAGACCTTTAAAGAAATTTGTTAGTGCCTACAATGTCTTAGTTGATTCCTCGGTTTAGTTGTCACATCTTCTACCTTTATTTATGTTTCTAGCCTCGATTAGTCTTCTATCACTTATGAAATGGTCCAACAAATGATAATTTTTTCCTTTTCTACTTTAAGGATTTTAGGTAACAACCATTCCGCTTCTAAACCTTGATACTTTGAGTTAAGTGCTTCAAACCACATGAATAATACTTTGCTACCCATTATTAATGTACAAAAATATATAGGAAATCTTTAGATTCACACAGTCGATGATAGTTCCTTAGCCATCATGGCTATTGGTGATATTCAGCTCGGTTAAATACTATTTTTATGCCTTCTAATCTATTTACTAATCTTATATCTATTGGTCAATTGGTTGACAACAATTGTAATTTTCAATTTTCAAATTTTGGTTAGGTTGCATAAGATCAAGGGTTGGGGAAGACAATCACAAAGGAACCTAAAATTGGATGTCTCTTTCCAATGCTTCTATATTCTTCTTGTTCTTTGTTAAATTATGTTATTTGTAATGTTGTCCAATGTGATAGTCAAGTATGGCATAAGCATTGAGGCCACCCTAATTCTCATGTATTTCACATGTTGTTGAACTCTAGTTTACTTGGTAATAAAACTTTAATTTCGTTGATGATATCAATTTTGGTTGTGCATCTTGTAAGTTTGGTAAAAGCAAAACTATTCCTTTTTCCTTTGCATACAACCCGCACCACCAAATCTTTTGAACTCGATTATATTGATATCTAGGGTATTGTACTAGTGATTTCTCATGAACATTACAAATATTTTGTCACATCTATCAATGATTTCATTTGTTTTAATTGGATTTACTTTCTTAGGTCTAAAAGCAATTTTTCTTTGTGTTTATAGTCTTTATAGCCTTACTTGAGATACAATTCTCTACCAAAAACAAAATCTTACGATCGATTCTACTCGACGAATATATGTCAAATGAATTTCAATCTTTCCTCTAAATTCATGGGATTTTATCACAACGTTCTTATTCTTTCACTCCACGAGTAAAACAGATGTGGCTGAAAGGATGAATCGTCACCTTCTTAATGTTGTTCAAACTCTTATAATTGATTTCTTTGTTCCTCATCCTTTTTGGTATGAAGCCTTGTATACTCGTGGTTTATTTAATAAATAGGTTACCTTCTTCAATATTGGACAATGCTTCACCTTCTCTTTGCTTGTTTGGGCATGCATCGAATTACTCAAATCTTCATCATTTTGGATGTATGTGTTTTGTTCACTTCCTACATATGGGTGAACTAAACTCACTACTCAATATATCAAGTATGCCTTTTTAGGATATGCTGGACATCAAAAAGGTTTTCTTTGGTATAATTCTCATGCTCTTCGTACTCGTGTATCTAAGAATGTCATTTTTTTAGGAAAAACAATCAATCTTTCTTTAGCACATAATAGATTTTTAATCTCCTTCTATCTATTTTTCTATCTTTTTTAGAGATGTTCTCCACCTACATTTCATCCAGCTATAGGTCTCACTAAGGTTCCTCTAGATTTTCCTAGGACATCCGATCCTACTCTATCAATTACTTATGATTTATCTCCTCTCTATAGAAGTTCTAGAACTTATAAACCTCTTGATTAGTATAGATTTGCTTCCCTTATTTCTATGTCTACTACGTTTTCTTCTATTTCCATTCCCTTTTGTTATAAACAAGCCAAAGAACATAAGTACCGACAATGAGCAATGAAAGTAGAACTTCAAGCACTTGAGGAAAACCATACTTGGGATACTATCTCTTGTCCTCTAAATGTCAAGCCCATTAGAAGTAAGTGGGTTTATAATGTGAAACTCAAGTCCGATGGCTCTTAGATAGATACAAAGCTCGTAAAGATTCATGGATCTTATAGAGGTATGAAATAAATAAATAAAATTTCCTCCATCTCGTGGTTTCTAAGATGATATTATTGAATCAACTAATCATACATAAACATGAATAAAATTATAGTAAGTAATTACCTCTTGTAGCATAAAATCAATCTATGCGTAAAGAAACCTTCCAAGTGTCTAGCCTTTACCGATTATCTATATAGCTCAAATAATCACACAAGAAGCTATAAAAACCATCATGTGCTAGCTTCAATTATTATATATATGAATTTTTCTCTAAATGAAATCAAGTAGGGTTTTATGCCAACTTTAATTTTTCTAGGGAGAGATACGGCAACATCTTCTTTAGGGAGAAACATCTTCTCTTTTTTATTTTCTAAGTATTCAGCCATGTCTCTATTCCCTTTATATATATAAGTGGCGACATCCTCTCCTTATAGGTTAAAGAAATGTTGTTTTTGTATGGGCTTTGTCTAACCTTATCCATATAACCCCGAACCTTATCCAATGGTCCTAAACTTTATCCCTCTATCAAAATATCTTACAAACTTTTAAATTAAATCTATTGGCCCAAACTCCTTTGGCCTAATTAATTATTAATTAATTTACACAATCTAAATAAATTAGGTCAAGTATTTTAATAGGAACCACATTAGAAAAAAATTTCTCAAATTACCTTTAAACCTAAATTAGGAAACTAATTTTGTTTTTAGGTAATTGTCTTTCAAATTTGAAATTAACTTTCAAATTGGAAAACTGATTTTTGAAATAGAAAACTCACTTTCCATTTGAGAAAACTCGACTTCCCAAAATAGAAAACGTTCCAAAATAAAAAACATTTTCCAATAACCTTTGCTTCTCTTTTATCGTGTGAATATTTAAATTTTCTACGCGCAATTCAATAGGCTCTTAGATATGTTGGTAATATATCAAGAAGATAAAAGAAATTTCTTTTATCTCTTGATACATAAATGAAGATTGGCTTCTAGTAAGTTATCATGACTACTCAACTCTCTAAGAGTATTAATTAATCCGTAGTTACTTTTAACGAGAATGGTTTCCATGTAATTTAATTCTTATGTCAATTTATAATAATGTGATCCCAAACTTAGTTTATTGGCTATTCAATTATGATCACATAAGTTTT